TGGGGGGCATTTACATAACAAATATACTTAGTATTGAGATTAATTTTACAATAAGAGATGATCCTTAAATGAATTTCAAAGATCACCTCCAAACTCTGGATGTCTGTCAAAGACTCCTGTTGTAGAGGTCTGATGGAACGTTCCTTTGGACAAAATACGGAAATCTGACCGCTGCAAAAAGCAGTTATTTTTTGGCAGAGTATGGGGAGAAGCAGGAGTATGATGCAGCAGTACCAATAAATCTGATGGTGGCAGATTTATTGACAACATTAACTTTGCATTAACTGCAGGCAGGGTTGGCTGAAGATTTTATATGCATTTGGTCTTTCTATCTGTGTGTACAGACATAAGAATATTTTTCTTTCTCCGTTAAAAAAAGAAGAAAAAAAAAATCATTGCCTTCAACAAAGTTTTATGTGCTTGTGCAACCAAACTGCTTGACGCCTGGTTGCACCAGGTAACCCAGACTTGTAATAGAATTGAAACCTACATTGTTTGGAGTCTGGCGTCACCTTCTCCATTAGAGCGATGAAGTTGAGAAGGAACTCTGTGTTGTTGTTGGACAGTTCAAGATCATTGCAGTACTCCCTGAGAAAAAGGCAACGAAATAAAGTTCAGAAGGTAAAGAAACAAAACAGCATGTTCTAACTGTAAATACTTTAACTGAAAGGCACACAACACAGGGTGGAGAACAGTGAGGAGGTTTACAAAAACGTTTCCAAAGTTGATGTGACAGAGAGGCAAAACATTTATTATACAATGGATTTGATGGAGCTGTTATGAAAAGTCAGTGTTTTACTTTAAAGTAGGCTACAGATGATCTTAAGCCTTAGTTTGGAGACACAGAAAAGGAAAAAACTATCAGAATGAAAGGCCAGTCTGACTGGAACCAGTTAATAGAACCAGGCCCCAATAGCTCCACATCAGTCTAAATAAACCTATTAGTTATACTGTCCTGCTAAATCAGAAGTGAATATACCTTGTAACCAAAAGTAACTTTTTATGAACTATCAACAATAATAGTGATACACAAGCAGCAAGCGAGTATTTGATTCTTCCCTTATCCAGAAGTTGATCTAAACCAATTTGTTTTAATTAAATAGCAGGTAAACCAATGCAAAGAAAGGGACTGAGATGATGACTGTTTGCAAGTGAGAAGATATAATTACTGATCAATCTTCTGCAGAAAATGCCTAAGCAAATTAAATTTTTTTAGAATGAAATATTTTGAGTCTGCCTGGCAACTGCTCACTCCTTTATTTTATAACTTAGGAGTATATAGCAAAGCATTCTTCATATAATCAAAGACAAATGTTAAATATTGTTAGACCTAACGTTGTTTCTATAACCCACTAAATCATCAGATTATTCCTAATGTTATAATAAAAATGTATGAATTAAGGTGTAATTACAAAAAAACAGCAAATACTGAAATAATCCCTTCTGATTTGTGTCAGATTTAAGTCTAATCAGAAGAGTTAAAACTGCTAGCTGGTTAGGAACCTCCAGTCAGACCGTGTTCAGTTGTCTAACAAGTTGTGAAATTCTACCTTTTTCTTTGACTTTAGCAACATAATTCTACATTGAATAAAATCACCAAAAGTAAGCAGTATTAGTGTCATGGCATGGAATACCATGCAATTTTGAAGTAATTGAAGGCGCTTAGTCATGTTATAGGACTTTGTTTTATTCACAAAACAGTTTTTCCAAAGATTACCCAAACTACTGGCACATTACTTCTTATTTTTGTGTTTTACACTTAGTTTTGGGTGAATTATAAACACATATAGCTCTTTGTGTATATTTATGATAAGAAAGGCCTTACAATACGGCACATGTATTTAGGGGGTAAAGATGGAAGTAGCCTCAGCTAAGCCAAGTAGCACCTCTTAGTGAACTGAAAAAAATAAATAAATAAAAAGTCCAAAGTCCAGTGTGGAAGAAATATTTAATTTCAAGTGGGATAAGAGTCGATTAATCATTTGGAATACAGTATGAATGTTAGATTTTAATGCAGTGGGAGCTGAAGCTGCTGACGCTTTTAAATGTGGGTGTGGAGTTGATAGATGCGTTAGTGCATGCTTCTTATCACGATTAGTGATAGTAAGTAAAAATATTTTTATATACTAATAGAAAGCTCTGTGGGCTTCAGTAGAATTTAAAGTTGTTGTAGTTATGTTGTTTAATTAACATCAGTAGGCTTTCAACCATTCTGAGCTGTTCCTTTACAGCAAGGCAATGCACAATGATTGGGCTTTATTAAGTATGGCCTCAATGGTTGCTATCTGGGTTTCTAATAGTTCCTTTGGTACTGCCAGAAGATGGCACCATATCTGTTTATGTCCACTCATCGTGCCTGGTGCTGAGATTAGATTTCGCCTCTAAAAGGACAATCAAAACATTATCAGGATGGATGCCTGGTGTATATAGCCTACCATCATTTTTGGATGATAAGCTGCTAAATTTTTCATAACCTTTGAACCCTGCATCTTATCGCCCATTGTCTCTTTTCTCTGAACTTTTTAAGATTATTTTTGTGATATAGTAAGAGGCTCTTTATTGGTTTGTTCCGCTGTTGTACAGCACTACTTTTCCTGGCCGAAGGGCATTTTATCAAACACACAGTACCATTGGAAAAGAGTGGCATGTTGGTCACATGTCCGTCCGCCAGTAAAAGTAGTGGTATACGATTTAGCGAGAAAAATCAGCAAATGCAGTGACTTGACGTTAGTGTAAATTGTGCGCTAAAAGTAGCACTACGTGTTGAGTGGAAGGCGTGGATGATAAATGGCAATAAATAATTCGCCAAAAATGGTCACATGCGAAAAGCAAGTTTTGTCCAAGTCTGCCAGTGGATTGTGACAGTGTGGAAAAGTGTAAAAACACCCACGATCACAAAGATTTAGAAGGGCCTGACTGCTGCGTGATGAAGAGGAGGAACGTGACGCTGACAATGAGGAGTTCTTTGGTTTTGAAAGCAACAGGAAAGAAGGAGAGAAGCGGAGAGTGGATGATGAAGCCACCTTGAGCCTTTTGTTTCTGACAATGAAGAACAGGACTTGGTTGGTTTTAGTTTTCAGGAAGAAAACGATGGCAGTGGCGATGAATGACTGACTTTGCTTCCCGTTAAAGCCTAAGCTGCACCTTAGGTCAAAAGGTAGGCTGAATCTATTTTTTCTGGTGTGCTGTATTTTATTTTTATACAGTACATTTGTTGCTCATTTAAACAAAACAGTACATGTTCTGTACTTGTAATTACTGGTAAATGTACATATACATAAAAAGTTATGCATATATGTAGCGGTAGTTTGTTTTTCAAACTGTCAATAAAAGGGTGGCAACCATCACTTTCCTGACAATCCACTTTTGCATATTGTCTTACATATGGTAATTAAACATTAAAACACCGGCAACTTTTAGTCAGGTACGACTAATGTTTGAACAAAACAGGATTTTCCCCTAATTTCAGCCTATGCATTTAAAATTCAGGTGTGTTTTTTAGTCCAGAAAATATGGTAATTTGAGAAAGATAAAATTGTATTTATAAAATTGCCCTGCGATGGACTGGCAACCTGTCCAGGGTGTACCCCGCCTCTCGCCCATTGACTGCTGGAGATAGGCACCAGCACCCCCCGCGACCCCAATTGGGACAAGCGTGTAAGATAATGGATGGATGGATAAAATTGTATTTGGTCTTTTTTTGTATATGATATAACATGACTATGCACCTTTAACCTATTTGCAGTTTAATCCTTTCCTGTATTATGTTCTCTAAACTGAGACGACTCTGAGCTGCAAAACAGGTAAGACACTGACTCTTCTCCCAAGGACCTCATTTAAAAAAAAAAAAACTGTCATTTTTGGATGCATGAAAAGTTATCAAGAATTCAATACAACAATATAAAAACACATGCATTGTTTCCCTTTAGGTAAAACTGGGGACGATTGGAGTTTTCTTAATTTTGTCACACAACCTGACTAATGAATGCAGATTGTGTTTTTGCAATGCAAACATGCAGGAAAACACAGCAGCAGCATGCAGCCATCTAACATGTTTTTCGTATTACATTTTTTACTAGTATGGAACCAACTAATAACTTTTTCATATAGTAAGGTTACTTGTCAAATGTTTCCATTTATAAATATAAACTTCATGACATACAGTGGGCCTACATAAAGAGTAAAGTGACTGAAATGTAACAACAGCAAAAACTGATGACCATCAACGACAGCAAGCATTCACACAGAGGGCTACCTGGGAGCAATGAATACATGTCCTTCAGACTCAAAACTGTTTGGCAGCAGAGATTCAAAATCTGCAACAGAAAGGGGAGATTATCCAGGAAGAGCAGTGGGCAGAGCAGCGGGGAGTAAACTGGGTAAACAGCAGCTGTTCTTCAGGGACGCAGGAGGACTTTACCATAGCAACAGTGAGGTATCATGGGAACACTTGCGTTAGCCAATATGGTGCCTAAAACACAACCTGACTCAATGCACAACTTCTTTTTACTTCCACAAGCACTCACATCTTCTGTTTCACTTGTTGCTTTGTCAGCAAATCCCTTTTTTCTGATTAGGTATGATTTCAGTCTAATTTATTTTGGATGTCTGAGAACTGACTTCGCCTGACAAGATGTGTTAGGAAGCGAGTTCTCCGACAGATTGTATGTAATGAGTGCTTTTAGATCAGGCAGGCATCAACATGGCCAACTATTTGCAGGGAGGGGAGGTGGGTGAAGGTCCTAATGGAACTGATCACCCCTCAGACTGGCAGGGGGGAGGACTGAGAGACACTTAATTGGGGGAAATGCATCACATTGTGAAGGGCATATCATGGGGCAACTTTGGTTGATCTGACAGGAACAAGGCTGCACATCAAAAGCCACTGAACCCCCTTAACATTGAAGCCCAACATTTTCTAATCGACTCAAGACGTTTACTTAGACCGCAAAAATGGAGTGCCCAGGTAGTTTTCCACCCACAATGCCATGCACATCCAGGGTCAGGTTTACAGAGGAAGCACTGGGCCGTGCCCCCTGCAGTCTGAGGGGTGAGGAGGGAGAGGGAACAAGCTGATGGAGACAAGGAGTACAGAGGGATAACATTTAGGAGTCAGGTGAGAAACCTGACAGTATGGGGAGACCTGAGAGGGCAGGATAGAGCTCAGCCCTGTGGGGTTAGTCTGCACAATGCACTGCTTCCAGCTAAGGGCAGACGGATCATGACAGCCAAGCTGTTAAATGCAAACTTAATATGGAGAAAAATAAATCTTTACCCTATTTTTAATAAAACTTTATGACACTACACTGTATCTTCTGTCAAAAACACAAAGCTTGATAAAGAATATATAACAATATTTTACAATTAGGAAAAAATGTGTTTGTTACCTTCCTGTTTAAAAGAAACTGTATGCATTTTATTGGGATTTTGTGTGAAAGGTTGACTGACAAATGATGGAAAAATAATCCATGGTTTGATTTTTTGTACTCCAATAAAAATCTGAAAAGAGTGCTCTGCATTTATATGTAATGAAACTAATCAGTAAGTTGTTCCACTTTCACCACATCTATGTTGGCAAGTCTTTTGTGGTACATCTAATAGTTTTACACATTTAGAGACTCCAAATTTCAAGCTTTCTTCTTCCAATATAGCTCAAGCTCACTTAAATGGGACGAAGAGCATCTACGATAGTTATCAACTATTGCCAAAGATTATAATTTGCATTTAGATCTGGAGTTTGACCGGGCCTATCTAGACTCTAATATTCTTTATTATAAATCATTTCATTATATAATCATCTGCATTTGTAGATCGGTCATCCTCTGCTACATTCTAGAGTCTTAACCAGCCTCTAACAGGTGTTCTTCCAGGATGGGCCAGTATTTAGCTCCACCCATTTTCTTTTACCCTTGATTAAAATTTGTCACAGTTGGAGAAAAGCATTGAACACTCTGGGGCTGGTGTTTTTGGGGGGTGGGGGGTGACAAGCGTTATTTTTCTGCCAAACAATCATTATGCATGGACTCCAAAAGTTTGAAATCAGCCATTCTTCTACAGGTTGCTGTCTTCCTTTAAAACAGTTGTGGCAAACTGCAAAACACACTTTTTATGTGTTTTTTTTTCTTTTCAAAATGGCTTCCTTCTGCACCGTTCATTATTATGAGGAATTTATGGACTGCAGATATCGCCCTGATCTCTGCATTTCCACAATTTCTGCTTCTCTAATCATTCTCAGTTTAGGTCCATGCCCATGCTTTTACGAAACATTATGTTTTATGGTCTGCAAAAATGTTTATAGTATCAGTTCAATCCCTAATCCTACTTTAAATTTCTTCAGATGATGATTTCTGACATGTGCTGTGCTCCTTGGACTTTTTAATTATACAGCAGCTCTGTTTTTACCAGCCAACTTTCATTAAAAGGAACCCCGTGAAAACTGTTATATTTTTGTACTTGGATTATTTCTTTGTGTTAGTCTGTCCCATAAAATCCCAACAAAATTAGCAAATGTTTTGTCTGTATTGGGCAAAAAGTTCAGTTAGGAGTAATTTTGCAAAGCAGAAAGAAACTCTGCACTTAAGTCACGAAAAAATATATCTAAGTACCTAAAAAAAATAGATATATTTAAATTAAATATCTGCTAGAACCTGAATGCTTGCGTAAAAAAGTACTATTCACACTTTAGATAACACAGAAAAAGAGAGACTGCAATGAAGTAGAGGGTAGAATAGAGAGATCACAATATGGTGAAAGAAAAAGAGCCAGAGGAGGAAGAGATTTTGTGAAATTGTCTACAGAAACGGGTTTGATGTGAGAGCAGGGACAAAAGACAGCTTTTAAAAGAAAACAGAAATGTCTGTCTTCCAATGGGTGCTTTGCTTTTTTATATATATATATATATATATATATATATATATATATATATATATATATATATATATATATATATATACCGGTATATATATATACATTTAGGTTCCTGGAGCAGCAGATACTGTATGTGGAAGGAAGTGTGAGGCTTGGGCACGTAGGAGTCATTGTGAGCAGTGTGGTATCTGAGCTGCAGCAAGAGGGTGAAGTGGAGGAACAGGAGAGGGATTAAAGAGGGAAGAGCAGGAGATAAGAAGAAAGAAAGAGGGAAGGGGGTCCTGAAGGCATGGCTGGCAGGGACAAAGGCAAGCAGGCTGGGACAGGTGAGAAAAGGGAGGAGGGGGTTAGGACAAGAGGTGAGGTAAGGAGGAGGAAGCAGTAGGGATTAGGAGGTAAAGGTAGGGAACGTGGACCAATATGGAGTATACTTGCCCTTGGAGTTTAGCCCTGTGTGGATCCATCAGAGAAGGAGAGAGCAAGAAAAGAAACAGAGGATTGGGTGGGAAGGGGGGGATCACAGACAATATTTTATTCAATTACTGTTTGAATAAAAATATTGTTTTCTTAAAAGAAAAGAAAAACAATTCAAGTCAAACTAGACAACAGAGAAAAAGAAATGAAAAACAAACATTCTTTTTGCAAGACCAAACAAAGAAAGAGGAAACAAAAGAACTCCTGGGCAAAGCCAGGAAAAGGAAATGCATTTAAGGCAAATTGTGAGAAATAACCATGGCAAATCAAAAGACAGAAATTAGAAAAAAAAAAAACACCAGGAAAAGAGAGGAGAATCAGGGTCTGGACAAAGAAAAAATGAAAGAGACAACATGTGTCCCGATTCAGACCCAGTGAGGAGAAAAAAAACAAAAAACTCCCACAGTTGTTAAGCCATTATTCCAGGCCATGTGGGAGTTTATCAATTGAATGATTCCAAAGCCGATCAACACTTCACAGTCCGAAAAAAGAAAAAAAATTACCACACACAAAAAAGAAAGAAAAACAAATCCTCAAATCATAAAATGTATCATAAGGAGTGAAAAGCATGCATTTTTTCACACTTTTCTGGTCAGAAACATTAAATAATTTAAAACACATATGCTTCAGAATCATTACTATGGTGGAAGAAGAGGCGAGAGCATTTGGTAAAACAAAAAAATAATAGCACAAAGGTCACCATTATTTTCACCTGAGGAGTACAGTAAAACCACAGCTTTCACCTTTCTGTCTGTTCAGTTATTTTTTTCTTCAGCCAGTGTGAAGAAAAAACATCACCATTTTACAGCACAGCATGAAGACAGGAGGGAGCAGGGGGAGCGGAGGAGGAGGAGGAGGAGTCGAGGGACTCAGGAACCGTATGATCCTGCCTATCAGAGAGCATAGAGAAGGGGGAAAGGGAAGCTGAGGGGCCAGGGCAGACGAATCCCCTCGGAAACTCCATATGATGATGTTGGAAACCCGCGACATATGACTGAATTCAAGTGTAAGGTCATATCAGAAAGAAAGAGCAGAGAGAAGCAGAGAAGGAAAGTGACAGAGGGGAGAAGGATGCCGGGTCTGACCCAAGGTACTTACACTGCACCTGAAGTATCTGGTCACTTAGGTTGGCCTTGATATGGTTCTCACTATATGTGGGCAGTACCAACCCTAGACTGTGTTAAGGACAATAAGGAACAAAGTGAGCTAACATAAACACACGTGATAGATTTTATGCATCCACATTTCATATTTTAAGAACATTTCCAAGATGAACGAGGGTGCTTTAATTGAAGAACATCAGCCAGTTGCTGGTGCAAAGCTTTGGATGTGTTCTGTCTTTGATTTCTTTGATTTGCTGTAATTTCCCAAAAGCATAAAAGCCTTTCTCTCTGTGTGCAGCAGCAGCATTTGATGTTCTACATTTTCAAACAGACCTCATAATCCAGTAAATGTGCTATGATTTATTTTTTCCAGAAAAACAACTCTAATTTAATGCATCTATGCAGTGAAAACCTTGCAGACCCCCTCTGATCTCAAACACCCCATTATTGAGTTCTTAGACGGGACATAAAATGTTTATCTCTAGTTTCACTTCACCTTGGTTAATTCTTTTAAATGAAGGTCAAAGCTACAGAAAAATTAAGCTCAGGAAATGGTCAGCAAATCTATATTTTAGTAAAAATTGACCATTTATTTTTAACTTAATTGATTTAAAAGCACTGAGATAACAAGTAAAAAAAAAACCCAACTGTGATAATAACAGTAAAAAAACAAAGGAAAAAAAAAGACACTGTCATCTGAAAGGCGCCAAAATCAAGTAAAACTGCACCGCTTCTTGATTATAATAAAAACGTCAACTTGTAAACTAATGGAGAAGAATAACAAACTTGTGGTTAATGCTTATTCCTACACTGAATCCCTCTTGGATCATCATTGTTCCCATAATTTGAGAAGCTTGTCTTTTCAGTTTACTTCTATCTCCCAATGCGCTTTCAGATTCTATAATTGGATAGCCTAAGATTAGTGATAGCTTATCTTTGGCCCTGGTTATCACAATTAAATACTTTTTAAACCTATTTTCTAAGTAAAAAAAGAAATGTTTAAACGTGTACTGGTTTTTTGTAGTGTTTTGTAGTGTTTGTGTCAATTTTACTTAAAATCTGAAATATTTATAGGAAGCCTGAGAACTTTAAGAAATAATGGCATCTGAAAGTATAAAACAAATATGCAAAAATAGCCCATCAATTGAACTAATGATTTTTAAGGGAGGATTAGAGATAAGTACATGGGCCTAAACTATAACCTTTTTCTTTTTCTGTAGAAAAACTGTCCTTGCTATGATTTAATTGAATATGATCCTATCTAGATACTCAAGAAGGACAGCTGAAAGAAAAAGCAATGTTTCACCAGAAACAAAAATACCGTTAATTCATATTGTGATGACCCTCTTGGTACTAATTGTTGGTTTCTCTCAGGTGTGCTGGACTGAAGTGGGAGTTGGCTACCGTTTTTCCATAAAACATCTCCCTTTCCCTGGAGCAGCCTAGTCCAGTGCATTTCCCCTGACATTTCCAATTATGTATACTGGATGTGAGTTGGCCATAACAATATAGAGGTAAAAAAATGCATCCATCTAGTTTTTTAGTAATCTATAACGTTAGTGATGAAGATCTACCTGTCATTTTATTAAAAGAGGAAAATTTAAAAATGTGTGATGTTCAAAATATATATATATATATATTACATATTAGCAAAGCTATTTCTTTCAACAAAGGAAATGTTTGCAACTAGATATTTTGCTACTGAAATAGCACTGCTCAGAACAGTACAGCTCTGTTTTGATGCACTTAGGCCAAACTTAACCAAAGTATCACAAAGTTAGTTTCAAAATCAAAGGTATGTCTGTACAATTATATTGCTTATGGATACATTTGGATCAGACTGGTCAATGATTATGTAGTAAATAGCAGGTGCAAGACATATAACTCAGCAAATAGCATTGCTTTTTAACTTTTTACTGTTGAAAGTATAAATCTACCAAATGTTTCTGTAAAGAAAACATTACAATAGATTATACTGAGTTGAGTTTCAATATTTCTCTAATGGATCAATTCTTTAGGCCTATATATATATTCAGAACAGTAAATCAGAAACCTGGATAAGCTGATAAAGCTTAGCTGTAATAATATTACAAATAGGTACAATTTTAATTGTTAAAACAGACTTTAAGTTAAATAAATTTGAAAATTAGTTACCGGTAAGTATTTTTGCATTAAATACAGACAGCTAATCAGTATGTGCGATGTAGAAGCTGCAGCTACTTTTTCAACTGTGAACTGCTTTAAAGTAATAGAAGACCATAAAACACTTACAGGTTCCAATATTGTGGTCAGAATATCAGGTGATGTGTGCTTGGATGCAAACCTACCTGTAGTCTGTACCATCAACAGGTGTCCAGGTGTATGTTCGTATGGCCTCGTCGATATACCTCTGAGGGTGATCATAAACAGAAAACCAAATGCAGTGGGTAAAAGCTGCTAAGGTCTCAGCACATTAGGTTTTCCATAATTAGAAGGAAACAATGGATAATAAACACATTGACTAATTCAGATTCATAACAACAGGAAGGTGCTACTTTGGATCATGATTGAGTCACATATATTGATGACTTGCCTCATCAACTGATTTAATGAGAGTCTTGATTTTTCTTTGCCCCGATTTACCATCAATCATGTCTCGACGGATCTGGGAAACAAAAGGAAGGATTTGTTTAGAAGGCAAATTGTTACAGAAATAGAAAAAAGAAGGGATATTAATTAGAACTTTAATACGTTTTTTTTATTCAGTGTATAAATATTCTATATTTATAAACAGCAATTCTGTATAATTCCTGTTTTTGTCATTTAGGATTACATATAATCATTTTTAATCATTATTTAAGTAAATAAGTAATTATTATTATAATTTTTTAAGTATTTATACAAGAGAGAGATTTGGAGACAAAAGAAGGCCAAAATTAAAATTAAATTCCTAACAAAAAAGTTTGGGTTGAAAGACCCGATTAGTAAAATTAAAAGAAAAGTCTGTCAAATACTGATTAAATGTATGTAATTCTGAATTAGAGAAAAGTTAAGCAAACAAAAAAAAAGATTGTTCTTTTCTAAAATTAGAATTAAAAGCAAAAACTCATTCATAGTAAAAAAAAAAAAAAAAAAAGACAGTCCTTTTATACAGTATATGCATTTTTTTTTATTTATTTTAAGAGTGGAAACACGTAAGATAAAACTTGAAATGTTGTAGATAACTTGTTTTACCTCCTCCTTGTTGTTATCTTCCAGTTCTGCATCTAGAAAGTCTAGAGTGACAGGCTCCCTGAAGTTAATGATCTGAGCAGAAGAAGATGGAGAGGAAAAATAAACATAATTCAAAATTAATGTGACACATATTTAAATTACTAATTAGGAAAGTAATTAGCTGTAGAGAGATGGGCCAACCTTGGGTCGTAGGTTAGGATGCAGCAGCACGTAACCATTTGGGTCGGTAGCAAACGTATAGCCATTGGCCCCAAGCTGCACGGATAGTAGTGAGACAGAAAATGACTCAGTAATCTTTCAAAAGAAAACTATATGCACATGATAGTTAAAGCAAACGTGCTCACTCTATAAGTTGGAGTCTTCTTCTTGATTTCATTGATTGCTACATCAACTCCCATAACTCCAAGAATGAGTTGATTCTGTGGGATGAAGAAGAACTGTTAGGACCCCAAAACCTAAACATTAAAACTCTTCTGTTTGAGAAAAATGGGGGATTTAAAGAGAAACTTTTAGTTGATAATTCCACAAAGTAGGGCAAGAAGAAACCAATTGTTTAAAGAAAGTTCTGTCTACTGTTTACCACCATCATAGAGACACAGCAAAAATGTTGAAGAAGGTCCTCTGGTAATTTGGAGCAAAATTGTACTAGACAGAAGCAGCACATCTCACTGATTGCACCATCCTGGCAGTAAAACACAGTGTTGGCAGCTTCATGACGTGGCATGTGTTGCTCCACCAGGGGCAGAGAAGCTGGCCAGAGTTTATGGTAAGATTTTTAAGCTAATACATGTCAATGGTGAATGAATGGAACTTTAACCAAAGCTATCAGGAATTTTTAAGAGCATTTTTTGTAAAAAAGTTGTCCAGAAGTGGGTTTCTCTACCTGATAAAATCCTCTGAAGTGTGTAGTTGTAATTTTTTTCTTGATGTGATATAGTTCTAAAAATAGTGGAAATGCTCACAAGGTGTAAATATATTTGAAAATCATTGTATTGCTGTGGCCAGGGGGCAGACGCCACAAATGACTTGTTCTGATGTCGTCACCTCAAGGGGGAAGTGTTGCCTCAGGAAGCAGAAGCTTTGTGAATACCGTTACAAATGATTGATGATGGTGACATACAGATAAATAATGAACATAAAAGCTAAAATAATTATGTATGTCCGTGTGACGTCAAAGCTTCATTTACTCAAAGGGCAATAAAAACCACTTTAATCAAATGATTTATAGTAATAGATATGTTTGTGAGCCATACTGATTTCTGTGTGGGTGACTGTATCAGACTAGTTTTTTCTTTTTTTTAAAAAAAAAACTCTGTTGTTTTTACCTGAGAGCTGGCGCTATCTGCAGTCAGGTTGAAAACTGGCATTGTTCCAGTGATGACAAGCCCCAAACCCTAGAAAAATCAAGTCAAAAATTCAGATTCTCTACCAAAAATACTTTTGTGGATATTAAACGCTCATTTTTTTTCTTCTTGCAAAAAAAATCTTCCACTTAGGTCTTGCACACATAAACATGATGCAGTTATTGACATCTTAAACAAGTAACTACCTGCTACACAGAAATTTCAGTGTGGAAAAATGTCAAAAACGTATTAATACACTGTATAAAAATAACAGAAAATAGCTAAAAAAAAAAGGAGCAAAAAACTGATGCATTAAACATGCATATTTTTTTGTTGTCGACACCTTTATTAACTGATTTCCTTGTATAACAACTACTTTTGGGCATTAAGTTGTTATTATGTACAGTAAATACTTACCAGAGCATCTTGGTAGACATTCGTCCACTGTACTTGTTTAGCTTTAGGCCCAGCGAGCACCATGGGACGTCCCAGGACATCCAGGTACTCCTGCAAGCAGCAACATTTACTTTAGTGCTGAGTGTCCATGACAAATACAACATAAACAGACATTTATGGTACTTCTCATTCAACACATTTAAAGGGTAGAGAGTTTTGTAGAGCCCTCTGATGTTCATCTGTTGTAAAACCACAAGACCCTGACCGGCCTTGTCTTTGTCACCATATAACACCAGCGGAGCACCACCTTCATGCCCCTACCGAGCCATAAAGAACCCACCCCCCTTCATTTCAGGTATCTTTTTTATTGTTATAAATGAACTATTAAGAACACATTAGGTGGGTCACAGGTGCCACAAACATGGCATTTCCCAGAAGCTCTACTGTCAACACTGACGATATCAGAATATCCCACAGCATTGCTGAGAGCAGGTTAAAGGTTAACTCTACAAGTAAAACACCAGACATCCATTTTATTTTGGCTTTTTCTGAACATCATTCCAAACAGCTAATAGGAATTTTAGGTAAACAATTATTCACATTTCTAACTTTAGATACTTTTATAATTACTATATGCACACTGTGACCTGATGGCAAACATAGGAAACATTTGATTAAAAAGGGAAAAATCAGACTGATTGTGCATAATTACAAGGATGAAAACTTTTGTTGACATTTTTAAAAGCTTCTAAAATCTTCATCTTTTTAGAGGAAAGTTTGTTTTTGAAGAGCTGTGAATTTTTTTTTATTGATTTTATAACCCATTATTATTTCAGATCAACCAAATAAACTTTTGAAATGAAAGAATAGCTTGAGTTTACTAAAGTCAGTATTCAGATGATCATGATGATGATCTTTTATTGACATTTTCATCTGTACTGCCTGACAACTTGTACAGAGTTCCTAGGCTTTAAAAAGAATCACCTCCACTTTACTAAATGTCCCTACCATGGCAGCTCCCTTTAGAGTCTGGTGAGAGAAACTTAACACAGTTTGTGTTTAAACAGGACAATGTCTCCATAAGATAACCCACATTTGCTTTTAGAAACGAGAAAGCAAACAAACACCAAGCTTCCAGGGTGATCTTTTTCCAAGCCTCTGCCATGAAGTCAATGCTTGTAACTAGAAATCAACTAGTTTAGGTCTTCCAACTTTCCCCTGATGATGGTGAAATATTCAACCGGGATTGTTATATATCCTTGAAGTGTCTTGTAGGGTCAAACCTAATTGAAAAATATTTTTTCAAACATAAGATGCCATGAAAGCACACATTAGGCACTTAATTCTTGTAAAAAAACAAAAACATCTTAAAAAAAAAAACAACAACTCAGGATTTGTACTAGATGAAGAGAAAATGCAGCAGAAACAAACGTTAAAATCCATAATTTAAGCTTTTTCTGTAATGACATTTAGTCCCATGGTGAGAGCATGTAACCTGCTGAAATACATTTAGCAAAGATTACCGTTCCACATCACAGTTAGCACATTGTTTGTCCAAAACATGCTTCATACATAGAAGAACTTCTCCATTTAAAAAGCAACAATTTCAGTAAAAGGTTTTAGACCATTTTGTTTTCTATCATCTGAACAGCGAGGTGCTGACAGGCGTAACCTATTCTATTATTAGCTCAATAAAAGTCCAGTTTAATGCGCCATGGGGAGATATTCCATCAGGACAGTGACAGCCAGACCTTTTCACGGGATATAGAGGAAATTTTCCGCCTGGCTAGAACAATCTAGGAAAGCATAACAAGTCAGCAGCTACAGACACAAAGGAGACAGAGCTTTATAGTTGTATGGCATTAGTGTGTGTTGATTAAAACCACTAGCTATGATTGCTAAGAGTAATCCCACCCGTGCTTTACTAATGCCTTACACAAAAAACGCACTCCTTTCAAGATCAGCCTTGTAGTTTTACATAAATGAGATTCAGGACACTACTTCTAAAGTTTTTCCATCTGCAGGCCACCTGATATGTTGCTGTTATTCAAGACAAACAGTGTAATAAGGGACTTTGAAGGGCAGTGTATGGTTAAATAAAGTAAGGTGTTTGTACTTTTTCATCAGAAACCTATTGGGATAAGTAGCAGTTCTCAGAGTATAAACATGCCAGAGTTAATGGAACAACTGATAGTCTATTTTAGGACTTGATCACTCACTGGGCTGGCTGGATTACTGGGAGGGTTGGAAGAAAGTGTGAAATAAAAAGGAAAGAAATTAAAAAGAGGGTGGTGGCATTGTAGATCCACCACCACCAAACAGAGTGAGTTAATTTCCATGCCTGGAATGATGTTATCCCAAGGGTCTCTTAAAGCTTGTTGTTCCTTAAGCAAATATGACATTAGGGAGAAGCAAGTGGTCCCTGAACATAAGAGGGACTAAGTGTGCTAACATGTCACAGACAGAAAATTTTAATTCATGTATAAAGAGTGAAATGTGGGAAATCTAAATTGTAATCTAACGTTGCACCACCTGTAGTCTCTAATAGAAAGTCTTTATCAAAGTACACAAGCTCTAAACTTTCTAACATTTTTTTAGCTTGATAACATCTAAGTGTTGACCGAAGGTTCAGGAGCTCTAGATAATCAGAATTTTGTAATTTATTTTTTCCATATTGGTGAACACACCACAATAACAGTCTTTGATGTGAAAGTCACTAGTCAAAGTAGCAGAATGAATGTCAGCAACAGCTCAGAATAAAAGTAAGTACAACATAAATAAGAAGATTAATAACTTCTTTAGAACATAGGTAATAAAAGTCTAAGGTTATTTGTGGTTTTATGTGTCAATTAAGACATATCTATGTCAACTCAAGCAATCAGCAAGAAGCCTGTGAAGTCTTATATTCAAAGTGACGCGACAGACGTGCTTCAAACAATGTAACAGGCATGATTATTGCAATTACAGCAAAGTGACAGCGATGTGGCTACTGCGATGGAAGACCTGAAATTTTCTGTCAAGCCGCATTGCAACAACCAACCAGGAACTGTGAGTGGCTGGGACATAGAGTTAAGGACTGCAGCACACACAAAGCTCAATCAAAATGGAAGATGAAACAATAATGATGACAAAGGATGAAGTAAGGAATGCTCTTAAGCGCTCTGTGGGTAGCTTTTTGAAAAACAGTTGTAATTTAGCAATAATAGAAGGACTGTTAAATTATTCCTTAATTCCAGAGCTAGTCCCGGCCACCCACCGCCTCTGCCAGACTCAGATTCTCTCTCTGCCTGCTGTCTTGCACGGCACTCAGCCTGTTACAGAGCAGAGCACATCTGGCCACCCCTGCCCAGCTCAGGTGTTCTCTATGTATGGCTCTTTAATTTGATCTCCACTGCGACTCGCACTGTAAAATCCAGATCCACCATGTTAAGTTGAAACCGTCAAGCAGCATAAGCTTCTCAGATTCTGAGTAGAGTTTGTCGCCTGCCATGCGGATTACTGTGGATATGTCAAGACAGTGACGGCACTAGAAGGTTGCAACAAAGTTACTGGAGTCGCATTTGATGTGAAAGCACCATTAGGCTACATCTACACAGAGCCTCATAAGGTATCTACACAGAAAACTTAACATTAAGATAAAACTGCAAAAAGCCAGAGGAATAGGCGTTATACAAAATATGCCAAGAGTCTTATTTTTTGTGTTTGTTATGACCAACAACAGAGGAATTAAATGTCTTAAAAACCACATTAGATTAAATAACTTCTGAAGAATAGACTGTAAAACAACAATCCATTGTTTAAAACTGTAAATCAAAGTAAGTAATTTTTTTCTTAACATAAGAGTATTGTTTTCTTGATGACACTTTGCCAATGGAATAAGGCAATTTTATTCTAAAATAAGAAAAAACCAACTGCAATCTCTTTTTTCAATTGCATAATATCTAATTATCTTATTTTAAGGCCAGAAATACTAATTCCCTTGGCAGATCATCTTATTTACCTACTCAATCTAAACAAATACACTTATTTTAAGACAGTTTTACTCATTTTTAGATAATTTTTTGAAATGAGTGCATACCTGTGGAGGGTGGAAAGATCTATGATGGGGCAAACATGCATTTTGTATTCAGTTATGCAGATCGGGGTATCTAGACAGAGCCACAATGGGGGGTGATTTGAACACCGTTGAAGCAGGTTTTAAATGGCGACAATTTCTTGACTACTTTGTCAGGAGGGGACCTTCTATCTGAGCAGCACACTTGTGGAATAAACCATAAACTTGGCTTTGGTTGGATGGGCTTTCAGTATGGAAAATGGTTACCGCCAGAACAGGTTACTCTCCATCAAAGAAAACATTAACTAGTTTAAATAAAAATGGGGTTTTATGCACTGATGAAAGCGAGACTGTTCTTTAAGGCACTAAAACCTGAATTGAAGTCATAACTCCTGTACCAAGCCAAGAGGTTATATATTTCATACAGCAACATATAATTTTATTTACATACAAACATTCAAAGCTGCTTAATCTTATATCAAACAGGAGTGACATTGCTTTGGATGTTTCAAAAAGACATCAACCAATAAACAATCCAGAAAGATAACTTCATCTTGGTATCAGTGAAACATGGTTAATGTACTGAGTTGTCAGCCCAGTCTGTGAACCTTAATCAAAGAAAAAACTTTAAAGATGGGATCAGATATGCCACTTCTGAAATCTCAACATACAGTTAAATGTTGAATGAAGGCCACTTCTTCTGAACTGGATTAGGCTCAAAACACAGGAGATGATCATGATGGAAGATGCTTACAATACAATTTTCTTCACTATCTGTACAGCAGGTTTAGAAAAAAAGATATGTTTTTCATATTTTGTTTTGAAATGGAAAGCAAAATGTTCTCAGTGTATTTGTTCTTCATTTTTTTCATTTAATTGTTTTAAATGCAATTCCTTTTTAAACACACTTTTTGTAATTTTATTTTAAAGAGAAGTGCAATGTTTCAAAAATCTAGTTTCTCTAAGAGCCAGAGGTTTCCCTAAATATACACACTAAACAAGATTTACAGCTTAGATTATTGTTCAAATATAAAAGTATAATTGGTCTGTGTGTAAACAAAGAAAATGCAGTCCTATTTAGATTTATTAATGTGAATTGTTGGTAAGGTTAGCACTGATGATCTTGCTGTTTTAGCTTGTTAAATCTCTATCCAAGTATATGAAAAATGTCAGCACAGCACTTTTTAAACATTTTGCCTTAAGGAATAGATCATATTATCATACTTCTCTTAGGAGGCTATGAATAGTCAGCATTTTACTTGTAGGGGATACATCTTTTCAAAAGTTCACTTTTCATAAGATTACAGTTTCAGGTCACCATCATTTGAAGTTGGACTAAGTACAGTTATTTACAAATCTGTAAATCAATTTGTAACAATGAGCTTTTACGTGAAACATCTACAGCAAAGCAAGACATTGCTATCTTGTCTAGCCAGAGTAGGTGTCAAGCAAGCATTTGAATGTGCTTCTTTGTTTGGGCAGTAAGGCTGCAGGAAAGCAGAAGACAGGATAACCCACAGAGGCCTTGTGTGGGGACAACCAAACTGTAACCACAGCAATTTTATACAATTAGGCAAATGTCCGGCTTCACATGGGTATCCTTTAAGGGCCTCAATTATGTTTGCCCTTTTAGATCACTTTACAGTAATTTTGTGGGCATAACCTGCCAAGAAATTACTTACACAGGTCTCATGTGTTAACACATGCAGGGAATACAGAAGCACTTTCCTTTTCAATCCCCTGTAAGCATTTCTGAGGGAACCACACAGTCGACCCTTCCAAATACAGAATCATGGTAATTTGGCATGAAATATAACAAGTCTATTAACTAATATGATATGTTAAAATTAGTGCTGTCAATCGATTAAATTTTTTAATCGCGATTAATCGCATCAATGCCTGAGTTAACTCGCGATTAATCGCATTTTAATCGCACATTTTTTTCCTGATTGAAAATCATTTAAATACTCTCGATGACATACAAAAAAATACATACAGGCTAGGTGCCAATGTTCTTTTTTAAAAATGAAAACAGGTCACAGACACTGATTTATGCCATAGAAACATATGGCAAGAAGATGGGGAGGCATGTAGCAAAAAATAACAAATATGTAGCCAAAAAAAAGGCCCTGAAAACAGGCTGATGTAAAAGACAGTCTTTACAGTTAATACAGTCTTTTGAACAAAGACAAGCATTTTACCCTACTGCTATAAAATTTGGTAGAGTTAACATTAGATGTTAATTAACCAAGATAATAATGAACAATTTTCAATCAATACATCAAAATCAATAGACCGACATCACTAGATGGAGGTAGTCTATGCTCTAGAAAGTTACTTTTCAGCCTCTTAACAAAAATGAGAACACACACACACACCCACCCACCCACACACACACACACAGAGACACACGATACCGACCTGTTGCGTACACAGACAGCAAGAGTGCCGTAGCAGATTCCATTTCACCTCAGTAATCTGTTTTCTCAGCGTATTTCAGGTTGCTACTAGTTACCAGACACTCAACTTGTTTGTTGGTGGTGGGGCTTAAAGAAAAGGCACTAGCGTCACCCAGTGTATGAGCGTCTTTTTCCCTTGAGGAGCTCCGCTGTCGAAGCCTATGAGAAATGCATACACTGGGGGAAAATAGCCCCGCCTTCCCGCAGGCTGCAGCGGGATGTACTTGGAAAATTGTACCATAAAACCACATAGCGTTAATCTCACGTTAAAAAAATTAGCGCCATTAAAATGGCCTCGCGTTAACGCGTTAATAACGCGATAATTTTGACAGCACTAGTTAAAATATATACCTGCTTCTTCACAAATTAAAATAAATGATATTCCATTAAATACTTTATTCCTATATACAGAATCCTAAAACAATTATGATAGAGCATTTCAAACATTTGTCTCTGTTAACTGCGAGTATGGCTTGGGATTAATAAAAACCTATGATTGGTTTTTTTATATATTACATAGGACAAAAAAAAAAAAGGAATTCTATTACTGATATGCTCCCTTTGTATGAATTACATCACTACTAGGCTTAATCTCATCTCTATTTTTGATTACTCTGTCCCATTTCCTTATTAACATTAGTCCGCATATTCTCTATGGGGTATAGGTCAGGCAAATTCGCTGGCCAATCAAGCCCACAGTCATTAAACCAGGTGTTGGTTTTGAGGCACCGTGAGCAGGTGGCCAGTTCTGCTAGAATATGATATAGTTTCTTCATAGCATTTGTTAACAAAGCGAAACACAAAGGAGATTTCCTGGGCATGTTGGCTTTGGACTGAAAAAAACACAATCGACCATCAACAGCTGCAACATTGCAATCCAAATCTTTACACCATAAAAAAAAAAAAAAAATTGTCTTTAAAAAGAACGTTGTGCCTTTTTCTTTTCACTCTCTAAGTTAAATGCAGCTTCAAATTAAATGAATTCTTTTATTTGATAATAAATACCTAAATTAAGTTTACCCATCTTAATCCCTTTGTGGTGGTTTAACAATTGATTGAAGTTGGAGATGTATTCTCTTTTTACAGTGTGTGCCAAGCTTTTGGCGGTGGCTTAGCACAAGAAATGCAACAGGGACAGACCTTTGATTCAATACCATTCAGGTGAGGTTCTGTCTGTTCTCTCTTGGGACTCAAATGCAATTAATTGCGTTAATGGTAATAACACATTAAAAGATTTCTAATAAATCGAAATAATGCATTGAAGTCTCATTCCTAATCATTCATTGGCGATCTTGGGTTTTTTCAAGTGTATACTGCTAATGCCTTTGATAAAAGATGGAAGACTTGCTAGTAGCTATTGACATTGCACAGTGCTTCACAGTGTGTGTGGGTGTGTGTGTGTGTGTGTGCCACAGTGTTAAGGAAAGAAGCCAGACCAGAAAATGACTTTTTTTTTCCTCAAAAACAAACCGTGTAAGTTGAATAATGCTATTGTATGCAGTCAATGATAGCTAAATGATGACTTGCTAATACATGCCACTATATCAGAATATAAAAAATAATGCTGTTCCCTATGTTAAATACCTTGCTAATTCGTTTAAGGTGGGAATAAATACAATCCTCTTGTAACTTCTGTGTAAAACCTTTTCTCACTATGGCTTTCATCATATATAAAATAAATCAAATCTAAAAAAATATTCTTTTAAATAGAAGAAGCAGATACAGGGAGAGCAGAGGCCAAAAGCAGTGGATGATGATGCTGGCTCTTCACGGGTTAGAAGAGGTGGTAAAAGATATTTATTTGCAAGAAGAAACCAAGCATCAGATAAAATATATTTTAACTGTATTTGAATTGGTAGTAGCCCAGGTTTAAGGCCTTGCAGAGGTAACACTGTGCTGCAACACCAACAGACTCAACAGTGTTTCTGTGTGACATATCCACAAAAACAAATAAAAATAAATACATATTGAATCGAAGAGAAATTGTTCAGTAAATAATTGCAGCTAGATAGAAGCACAGAGTGTTTCCCTTAGGTGGGTACATGCTGTGCGAGGTTTTATTCTTATGATAGTTGATTGGATCGATATTTTGGCCTTTAAGACATATATGTATATTTCAATCTTTTTTTTTTTTAGTTTATATACCGGTAATTGTTCCTCAGACACAAACATTAGCAACATACTGCAGTTATTTAGGTATAGAATATTGACAAGACAGAGACTTGGTTCCTAATTTTAATAAAAAGTTATTTTTTATATTTTTGTCTCTGCTTTTGTTCATAAGAAATCTAGACGTAACATTTTGTAACTGGACAAAACTGACAACAATGATCAAAGAAATAGTTTATATTTAAACATTTTGTTTATTTGGTAAAATTTTATCTAAAGGATCCTCGTAAGCACATTTCAAGACAGACGCAAATCAATATTGTTGTTTTCCTTGGTTGCTGGAGTCTGTTTTCTATGCGTTTTTTGTAGTTCTGGTTTCTCTTATGTAGAAGTCGGACTACATCTTTAAACATTCATGTCAGTTTTTTTTTAGATAAAAGCAATCAATAAATGTTGCATATTGGCATTCATACTTGATTCACTCTGTCTTACCTGTGTGTTGATTCTGATTGCTCCAATTGATGGTATTTCAAAGTAGTAACCTAAAATGAGAAGAAATATCGAAAATAAAGTCTCTCAATTGAAACATTGCTTTCACACTTTTGATTAGGGTGTGCTCGTGTCATATTCTGTACATGCATAGATTTCAAAGCGTATCCTAATGTGAACCCTTTTTGTAGATGGAGTTTCATCTCCTCGTGTACTTTATTAGGTGCATGCAATGCCATGAACTCAAGTTGATGATGGTGCACCCTGCAGACGAGACGTAGCTCGTGGCTACTGACCCCTCGTGTTTGAAGATATGCTGCAGGATGTAAATGTGGAAGCTCATTGAGAATGCGGAGCCCCAGGCACTGCCGCTGATTAGGAATGGACGAGAATGACCGAGTGGGTCAATAACCGAGCTGCTCAACAAGTTATTAAAGCCATGAGTGTTTACACAAAGAGCCGTGAAATGGAGGCAGCGTCTCCAGCATGTTAAAAAGCCTAGGCAACTTTCATTATTTGGGCACATTAGGCTTTTTTTTCCTCCCCAGTGTTTGGTGGTGAAATCTCCCATCTCAGTCTCAATTCATTAAAAAAAATCAGAGCATCCATGCACAGCCGTAAACATTTTGATTTTATAATTCATACATGCACACACAGAAGCACAATGCTGTGCTCCAGGGCTTCTGCTGTATGCCAGAGAAGTTGTTTTTTAAACAGACGGGTGGTCATAGAGCACTGCGCCACAAAGAGTTGTAAAGAGGGAAATATGATTTGGATTCTGTAGGGTCACACTCAGCAATAGAAACTCCTTGTCTGTAAACTATTTGAAAATTACAGGGAAACATAAACAGAAATGCTCTGTTATACAACTCAGTGGATTTGAGGTTCAAACTTCAAACAGGATAACAAATTGTCTTGTTTAATTAAGGTTGGAAATGAGAGAACAATGTCGAGATCAATCTACATGTCTGTACTGAACTGGAAGATTCAAACAATATAATTTCTTTTTAAATATGACAGACACATAAAAACATAAAGGGTCTTCACTCAAAGATGCCTCAAAATATCAGGTGAGAATTAAATGTTTTATTGTAAAAGAACAATTTTCTCACTGATTCCAACCAGACTGCAAGTCAGCAAAGCAATCAATGTAATTCCCAACAAGGAGTTTCTTTCAAAGAAACCTTTTTAAATTTCTGTCCAATTGATTAGAATGAGTTGACTTTTTATAGAACCTTAAGATTATGTATTATGAAATGGTCATATATAATTAAAATAAACTAAATGGAAAAATTCCAAAGCATTAACCTAATCAATATCTGTTGTTGGATTTTAAGGCAACACCATAAACCCTCTACCTCCTTGTGTGACACAAAAATAAACAAATGAATCAGTGCATAAATGAATGAATGAATGACTTAATCAATGAATCAATAAATGCCAGGAAAATAATTATGGAACTCCACAATCTGGTTCATGTTTTGCTACAATTTCAAGAATCCTGAAACTTCCCACCTAATCGGTTCAAGCAATTACATGTAAGTATAAACACCAAACAAGTAGGTCTCTTCACACCAAAAAGCCCAAACAATTTAGTCTGATTAATGGCAGACAAAAATAAAGGCTGATGTGTCTCTTTATACAAGCAATCTAACCTCTGGTTTTACTGTTATAGACTTACAGATTAATAGAGGCGTTGTACCTGATAGGCTCCCCAGGATTACAGTAACAGTCGTTACGCAGCTACGACAAAAAGATATCTCTGGGATAATATGAATGATGTAGATGAGTTCACATTTTACAAATATTACAGGAGCGCTTGCAGCCCAGAGTTGGTAGTAGTAGTCTTTTTTTGGGTCTATAGATTTAGACAAAGTAATTTGTCTTAAATTTAATTTATATGTATGATTACTACATAAAGTAGCTGATACGCATTCCAAACTAATTTATGTTTTCTATATTTACTCAGTGTTCCTACATGTAGAATGTCAGATAAATATTGGTAATTACTAAGAAAATGTTATAGTACTTTTAAATGTCGTCGTAAATACTGTAACATATTGTATATAATTTTCCAACTGGTGTAAATTTGACTAGGTTTTCTTTTTAACTGATTTTAATACTGCAAGGTGTAACCAACTACAAACCAAATTAGTTATCTTTTTGATTTATAATACATTGTAATTATTACCTGTCAGCTTACCTTTTAATTCATTTACATTATTTGAGCAATTTAGGACAGTTTGCAGGAAGTATCACAATTATTTATTATTCAGGGTGGTCACGAGTGAAAATGCACAGTGGTGCTCAATTTATATTAATAAATAAAAAAAATACTTTTTGTTTAACTGACACATCCTTACAACTTAAATGTAAAATTATCACATTATTACAGAGCATGCAGGGTGATGGGAAAGGAGAAGACGATGAGAAAAAGGAAGCAGAGAAAGTGTAGACTGCTGGAAGAAATGCGATGCACTGGTGAAAGACAAGTGAAATGGCGTGCTCAAAGATGACCCTAAACAATTCAAGTATGTTTGATTCAACCTACTGTTGTGAAGCAGGATTCTCCACGATGAACATAATCAAAATTAAATCCATCCAGGCTCAAAATGGTCAGTTCAGGTGTTTTATAAAATTGTCTAAATACCAAACTGAATGATTGTGGTTCTCTACATCAAAACAACTGAAACAGAAAAATTTTCTTTTTTTGAATGCATTTATAAAATTCTATGTAGAACATGGATGCCTAAAAACCTCATTTTATTTCACTGTTATATTCTGTTTAAAGTAACAGATTATAATTAAAAATGTCTCCAAACCGGTACTAGTTGATAATTTTCTTTATTCGGACCCTGCTGATTTTTAATTGGTTACCCCTGCTGTAGACTGTGGGGAGGTCGGTCGAGCAGGATGTGTAGAAATCCCGTTATGCGGAACAATTGGGAAAACAGTCCATTATTTAGACCTACGAAACTGTCCTTTATAGCACCAAACTACCACCTCTAACGCTGTGATTCCTTAGCTCCAGAGCAGAGCATGATTGGCTGCCTCTTTCAGGTTCTGGAGGCGGTGTTACTGCATTGAATGTCCCGCTGCTCCTGTCTAATTTCCAGAACGCCATCTCGCCTTACCTTACCAATTTGTCTGGGTGACTTGTCAACCTGTTTTGGGCACTGTGACCAAAACAGACATGGACCAAGGGCAGGGGAAAGATGCATGTCCACCCAAAGAAAAACTAATAAAAAACACAACTGGCGCTTGAAATCGATCATCTCCATAATGATTGCTCCGCTGCTGATCGAGGCAGATCACGTGAGAATCGTCCAGTTTCTGAGCTTTCCAATTGAGCGGTGCAAGTCTAGTTTACGTAGATAATTTTATAAACAGGAGTCTGTATAAGTTATAGAATTTATAAGGCCCTAACTTACCACAATAACATTTGACAATAAACTTAAAGTTTTCTATCAAAGTTGCAAAAACTTAATTTAAATAATTTAAAGAAATTATTTGGGAATAATTTAAATAAAAAAAATACATATTTTTATGTATTTTCTTTGTTAAAAATGTTGTACGCCATTGTGACAAAGTCCTTATAGGAATTACAGCAGCCAAACCATTTTGCTGCCCATCCTTGTCCCTATTTAAAGTGTTATGATAATTTATATATTTGGTAATGAGATAAAAAGATTTGTGGTTCTAGTGGTCATGACTATAGTCTGACAAGACATAAGAGGACAGAGTAAAACAAAGTCTGAAGGTTGTGAATCAAACCCCAGGCGGCTACACTTTAGAGAAATAATCTTTTCACGTGGCGATCCTGCTTTACTACTACATCATGAATCTCCACAAGAAGATTATGTAGTGAAGTTAAAGGATTACTTTAAATCTTAATCTGCCATGGATATGCATATTTTGGTCCTATATGTATACTTGCAGAAAAAAACTCTGGTCTGTTCAGGTTAAAGAACCTCAAAGACTAATTCCACATTTTTGCAGTTCTTTTCATTTCTTCAGCCCATGACCTTAGGCGTGCAGAAGAACAGTTCTTGGCAAAGAATGAAGCAGCTCTGATGAGACTCAGTTCCTCAATGTCTGATAAAAAGGTTCTCACTTGGAAATTTTGCACTGCAAATATAAAATTTTTAAACAAGTATTTTTTTTCTTAAAACAAGTGCATTTTTTCTTGAATTGAGGCGATTAGTGAGAAACTTGCCAATGCAACAAGATAATTTACATTTAGAATAAGAAAAAAACAACAATTGCAATGTCTTATTTCAAGGGCATGTTAAGTAATCATCTTATTCTAAGAGAAAAAATACTCATTCCATTGGAAAATCATCTTATATATCTGCTCAAATTAAAGGTAAATACACTTAATTTAACAAATGTTTACTTATTTCTAGATTGATTTTGCAGTGTGGACTGCTCCCTCTAAGTCAGGCAACCCTTTTTTGCTTCAAATTAAAGAGTTTAAGTATCTTTTTGTGCTTTTAAATGAGAAATGAGTTGAACCTAGAGATTATTAATATTAGAATGGAGTCTGTGCCAATGGGGGAGCTACTCTGCTTCATTGTGGCAAGGAAAAAGCTTAGACCAAAAGACAACCTTTCAATATACAGTACAAACAAAAAGTTTGGAAACACCTTCTCATTCAAATAGTTTTCTTTATTTTCATGACTTTGAAAATTGAAGATTCACACTGAAGGCATCAAAACTATGAATTAACACATGTGGAATTATATACTAAACAAAAAAGAGTGAAACTGAAAATATGTCTTATATTCTAGGCCATGCTGGTTCAGTATGCCTTCAATTTTGCATAAATCCCCAACAGTGTCACCAGCAAAGCACCCCCACACCATCACTCCTCCTCCTCCTTTGTTCATAGTGGGAACCAGGCATGTAGAGTCCATCCGTTCACCTTTTCTGCGTCGCACAAAGACACGATGGTTGGAACCAAAGATCTCAAATTTGGACTCATCAGACCAAAGCACAGTTTTCCACTGGTCTAATGTCCATTTCTTGTGTTCTTTAGCCCAATCTAGTCTCTTCTGCTTGTTGCCTGTCCTTAGCAGTGGTTTCCTAGCAGCTATTTTATCATGAAGGCCTGATTCACAGTCTCCTCTTAACAGTTGTTCCAGAGATGTGTCTGCTACTAGAACTCTCTGTGTGGCATTGACCTGGTCTCTAATCTGACCTGCTGTTAACCTGCGATTTCTGAGGCTGGTGACTCGGATGACCTTATCCTCCGCAGCAGAGGAGGCTCTTGCTCTACCTTTCCTGGGGCGGTCCTCATGCAAGCCAGTTTCTTTGTAGCGCTTGATGGTTTTTGCGACTGCACTTGGGGACAGTTTCAAAGTTTTGCCAGTTTTTTTAGACCAACTGACCTTCATTTCTTTAAGTAATGATGGCCACTCATTTTTCTTTACTTAGCTAATTTTTTATTGCCATAATACAAATTCTAACAGTCTATTCAGTAGGACTATCAGCTGTGCATCCACATGACTTCTGCACGACACAACTAATGGTCCCAACCCCATTTATAAGGCAAGAAATCCCACTTATTAAACCTGACGGGTTCATGGTACACCTGTGAAGTGAAAACCATTTCTACCTCTTGAAGCACATCAAGAGAATGCCAAGAGTGCGCGAAGCAGTAATTAAAGCAAAAGGTGGCTACTTTGAAGAACCTAGAATATAAGACGTATTTTCAGTTATTTCACACTTTTTAGTATATAATTCCACATGTGTTCATCCATAGTTTTGATGCCTTCAGTGTGAATCTACAATTTTCATAGTCATGAAAATAAAGAAAACTATTTGAATGAGAAGGTGTGTCCAAACTTTTGGTCTGTACTCTACCTGTCTGGGTTTTGACGCTCACCTATATTTATGGGATGTGTGGATTATGACAGCAATTATATGATTACTGACACAACTAGCTGAGATGAGCTTCCTCAGTCAGCTGGCTGAGCTAAAGCAACCCTTTTATGGAAGAAAACTGAGGAACAACTTCTTCATATGTGCTTACCCACAATGCCTCACACATTTATTCAAGCAAAACTCTCTATTCTGTGGTGAGTTTTTAATAAGAGCTTAAAAACACAGACAGGGAGATGATATGGTAATCACTGCTACCAGCCACCTGCTAATTAATGACTGCTAGGAAGGTGTTTCAACAGCATTAGGCTCCACTGGCAATAAGCTAACAGCTACAGAGAAGCTCTTCAGATAATTTGCAACACAAAAACACAGTCTTGAACTTAATTATAAGAGACAAGAAAACTTTGAGGAAAAGTGTTCAGAATAAAGTGTAAATGTTACTGCAGAGCAGACCCACATGGGTGAAACGTAGATCAGACATATGCAATAATGCAACCAAGGAAGTGGAGCTGAGTCAACTGTCAGACTGTTAGTCATAGACCAAGCTGGCTGTCGGCTGGGTTATTTCAGAGCTCAAGGCTGATCCAACAGATTATTGCATCCCATGAAGTTCTGCAGTCATTTTTTCTCAAGTTTAAAATAGACAAGGCAAGTGAAGACCAGACAAATGGAGGAGTTTTATCTCATAGTTTCATATAATTTTTCATTTAATTGTATCTCTGTTCTTCGTCACGGCTGTGTCTTATAGGACATTTAACGTGTAAACATCACTGAGCAAGGTGAACATGTTCGCCACAAAAAAACACTATCAAAATATCCATCCATCCATTTTCTGTCACGCTTATCCCAAGTGAGGTCGCGAGGGGTGCTGGTGCCTCTCCAGCCGTCAACAGGTTAACAAAATATCAATAAATACAAATACTTTTTCAAGTGCAATATTACTGCAAAAGCTTAACTAAATAAATTTTTCTATTCTAGGAAAAATAACAATACAGCTAATTGATGAGAAACAATTAAACCACTTAGTATAAACTCATGAAAGACGTATAAAGTTGACATCACTGGTAATTTTTTCCAAATTTGCCAAAAGTATTTATTTTTATAAAAAGAAGTCAAGCAATTATTAATTCTTTTGAGTAGGAAACCTATGCGCTTTTTGATTGTTTCGTTTTTCTACAGATGTTTTTTTCTCTTTGCTGTTTCTGCCTATTATTTATTTTTGTTAATTTTCTAATCTTAAAAAGTGAAAAATAAAAAGAGAAATAATATATATATATATATATATATATATATATATATATATATATATATATATATATATATATATATAT